AGACATAAGACAACTATTGGTTATTCCTGAGAAATTCCGATCGTCAATTCTGAAAATGGGTCATGAAGGTACATCAGGCCATCTATGTGTCACGAAGACAAAAAATCGGATTGCAAAATATTTTTACTGGCCTCAGTGCTATAAAGAGATAGAGGAGTTTGTTAAAACATGTGAGATCCCTGCCAGAGGGCAGGTAAGGCAAATGATCAGAAAAAAGCGTCAATGCAATTAGTTCCAGTAATAAGTGAAGTTTTTTCCAAATTAAACGTTGATGCAGTAGGACCCCTTCCCACTACACCTACAGGGAATAAATATTTGTTAACTGTCATGTGCATGTCCTCGAAGTACCCTGATGCAGTGCCAATGCCTGATATAGCGTCCACTACAGTTGTGGAAGCTTTGTTCCAGATCTTCAGTAGAATGGGTTTTCCTAAGGAAATTCACACACAAAACGGACCAGGAAACTTCATTCACGAGTATTTTAACATCAGTATTTTTTGAAAACTTTGGAATAAACGTTGTTCGAAGTTCGGTTTATCATCCTCAGAGTAATATCCCGTCGAAAGTTTTCACAGAACTCTGAAAAGAATATTAAGAGTGATATGCATCGAATCCTCTCCCGAATGGGAAAAACAGTTGCCAGCTGCACTTTTTGCTTTAAGAACCATCACTCATGAAAGCACAGGTTTTACTCCCGCTGAATTGGTCCATGGGAAAAATTTGAGAACACCTATAACTCTTTTGTATGAGAATTGGATGGGGACTATAGAAGAGGTGACCCCCGTTGTGGAATACGTTTTCCAACTCATAAATCGACTTAAAAGATGTCAAGAATTAGCCATTGAAAAAATGGAAGAAACGAAAATTAAAAGAAAGGCATGGTATGATAAGAATGCTATTAAGCGAGAATTTTCAGAAGGAGATTTAGTGTTAATGTTAAGGATGAATTGACCTAATAAACTATCTGTGCAGTGGAAAGGACCGGGAAGAATACAGAAAAAATTTCAGAGACGAATTATGTGGTGAGCTTTAACAACAACGCCGATTCAAATAAAGTTTTTCATGTAAATATGTTGAAGCCGTACTACAAAAGAGCCGAA